CTAAGATTAAGAAACGAGCTCTACCTCGAGAGATCGAACCGACACGATTTCCTGAGTGGACTCCGGAGATATCCACATACCTTTCTAGAAAACCGAAGCCCCCAAGGAGAAAAAAACAGGTACCTGTCGTTTCTGAATTTTTTTTTTCATTTTTCGCCTCAGTTCTTTTCGATCAACAGATAGGTTAATTGATCGTCGAATAGAGAACAAACTGCTTATCCGCGTTTGCTTTCCTTGTTTGGAAAAGTTACTAAACAACCCCCAAATCGTAATACTACAGGTACAGCCTCTATCCCGAATTGCTTTTCCCCTCACCTCTCTTACCGTCGTTTTGATCGACCGACCGATTCTCCATTCTAACTACATCGAGACCAGAGATCTAACTAAACTACCTTACATTTCTCTGTTTCCGTCCTTCCTACCTTCTTCATCATTGCGATGGGCGCCCATCTTAGAAATGGCCGCAACATCTCAGTTGAACAACAACAACAAGACCGCGAACGAAGAGAACAACTCTCGACCGACTCCGGAGCCGGAACTAGACTTGTTGGACTACAGCGAGGAGATGACTCGCGATATCAATTCAGTCCCGCCGCTGCAGAACGCATTCGGAAACTTAGGATCCAGTCTGCCTCAAATCAACGAGGACGACATGAGACCACAGGCGCAAGGAGCTCGGCCTTCGGAGTCAGGAATCTCACCGGCGTTGATCAACTCCAGAGCCACTTCCCTAGCCCTAGAGACTATGTCGAACCGATCGACTCCAGTACCGCGCCCGGTCGAACGCCAAACTTTCGCGGTCCATACGAGTACCGCGACAAACCTGACGATTCAATCTCCGACCCCTCGTCAGTTCAATCAGAACCCAATCCCTACGTTGAGCCCCTCGCCAGCTCCAACAGGTCAGGTCGATATAATAGTCGACAACCAGGACTTAGAAGTATTCATCAACCTATTCAACGACCAATGGTTGATGTTCATCCAAGCGAGGGACAACAACAACGTTCCCTTGATGCGAGCTGCCCTCACCCAAGCGATATCCAGCCAGGAAGTGATCAGAGATTTGGCGGGAGGCGAGGAGATGTTAAGGATCAGCGAGAATTGGATTGCGAGAGAAGAGCTAGCGAACTTGGAGAGATCCCAGCAAGCGAACCCCACGCCGCCGGTCCAACGCCTAGCCATAACTCAAAGAGCCCACTCCCACACCATCAGCCCATCACCAGCTCCCCAGCCGCTCACACGCCAAGCTTCGGAGATAACCTACCTGGGTTCTGGCCAGCAACAGCTCCAAAATCAAACTACCTCCCAGAGACCTCCGACTGCGCACAGACAGCATCAAGACATCAGGATGCAATCGGCGCAAGGCAACCATTTGCCTCCACCCCCGCCACCGTCTACTCAACCCCCTCGAGCTTCAGAGCACTACAACCAACACCAACAGGTGCAGCATCATCCGTACTACCGTCAAGGAACCTTACAACACCATCAGCAGCCACCCCGTTTCGTCCAGAATTACAAGGCCCCTCAACAGGCGCAAGCGGCCCAGACTCACGCGCCGCCCCACCAACAGTTCCACCCCCCCCCCAGCAAAGAAACTGGAGAGGATACGGGAGGAACTGGAGAGCTCCTCAAGATCCGACAACGAGGCTGTTGCAAGTTGGAGAGTACCTGATGAGAGCGGAGGGAGTAGCCACAAGAGTTTTCCGCTTTCGTGGGAGGGGAAGAGGAAGGAATCAAGTCCAGCGAAGAGACTACCAGCAGGAAGAACAACGCCACTAGAGTCCCCTCATAGTTTTGATTTAGATGACTTATCTATCCCTTCTAATAAAGAATTCTTTCTCCAAAATATCAATCATGATCTGTCCAGAGATGTTCCTTTGTTAATAGAAGATAGATTAAAGGATTTGTTTTCTAATTTTCTATCTGATCTTTCAGGAACAGTAGACTCTATTCCCAGTACTCTGTTAGAATCTTGTCTAAGAAATTTCAATCTCTCTATGAAAAATTCCATTTCTAAGTTAATAAAAGAGGAAATTGTTCCTTCTTTAGTTGATAAAGTGATTGACAACCTGAGTGACAAAGTGAGCAAAGAGCCAAGCAATCATCATTGCCCAAGCTATGTGGAAGAAGTGAAACTGTACATTGATAAAAAACTAGAAGACTTCCAAGATATTCTGTTTGTTAGAGACACAGAAAATGTTTCAAAATTTGAAGAAGTTAAGAAAGAGATGAGATCTTCTGAGGAAAGAACTGCCAACAATTTTCAATATATCTCCACCCAGATCAG